AACAGAGAATAAACTGCCCAAATACCCTTAAACAAAGGAAAAGTACGTACTTTATGAAGGCATAGCCTTTACTACATGAAAATGAGCCTTTACTACATGAAAATGAAAATTAATGAATACACTGTGTACAGTAATTTACCTGATAAGACAGACTTCAGAAAAATACTTTATGAGAGCTTTTATACTTTTATAAAGCTGTCTATAATGAAAATTAATTAACTAAGGATTTTTTTGCCCTGCCAGGATGTGGCCGAGTTATCCGGAGTGCCGGGTTATCGAGAGCCGAGTTTTCGAGGTTCTACTGTAATTCTTATGAATCAAAGATCCTAATTGTCACCTCTATTTACTAGGAACCCTTTTCCTCAATTCTCAAGACTTTCTCTAATCTTCGATCCACAAATCGAATAACTTCAAAATTGCCTTGGAACTATTTGATCCTATCGGACAGTTCTCTCTCGTTTGCTGCTACGAAGCTCACCATGCTCGTTGCTAACAGAAGCTCACCTCATTAACCTACCTGAGAGGGACGTAGAACTATGGAGCCATCGTAATGCAGAATGATCCGTTACGACGGTAAATTCTGTTTCATCTAGGTAAACTTTGAACTTCTTTATAGCCCATACAACGGCTAGACATTCAAGCTCCGTGGCTGTATAGTTTCTTTCGGCCGGTTTAATGTATGGCTAGCGTATACAATGACTTTCTCCTGGCAAAGCACTGCTCCCAGTCCTAAGGTGAGCTTCTGTAGCAACGAGCATGGTGAGCTTCGTAGCAGCAAACGAGAGAGAGGTGTCCGATAGGATCAAATAGTTCCAAGGCAATTTTGAAGTTATTCGATTTGTGGATCGAAGTTTAGAGAAAGTCTTGAGAATTGAGGAAAAGGGTTCCTAGTAAATAGAGGTGACAATTAGGATCTTTGATTCATAAGAATTATTGTATATAAGTTAAGTCTTTGAAATTTTGTCAAATTCCAAAGGGGAACAGAATTAAGTTAGAAAATAGATTGATTTGAGTTTTGTCGGGTTGATTCTTATTGATTTTCATTGAATAAATTGTTATTTGATTTTTACTAAATTTTTTATATAGTTATTATTAGAATATTTATTAAATATTTGATTTATTATTGACAAACTTTGTCATTATTTAATTTGGTGCACGCTTAAAGTCCAGGCCTGGCACACTAACGCGAATCCGCATAAAGTACCCGTTAGGGAACGGCTATTTCCGGTACACAATCGTGTGGATAATCATTGTAGAAAGTCGGAAAAATAATATAGTACTTTATAATAGCTGTTACCCTATTGTACATATTATACTTCTTATGAAATGACCATCTGCCTATAAAATAAAATTATTTATGATTTAATTGATAATATTTTTAGATCATTAACTTTATTTAAAAGTTGTTATAATTTTTAAAACAATTAAAAAAAAAAGTTAGCCAAGGCTAGGATCAAACCTAGATTGCCCACGTTGCAAGCAAGTTCGCTACAGAATCAGCCATTTCGCTGCACTGCCATAGTGTAAAATCGACCAGTATATGAACTGCGATTAAAACTTTAGAGCCCTTTTTCTCGAAATCTTCTGGCTAGTGTGCTTTACAATTCTTCTGGGTGGACACCCTTGAAGTATACTGTTAACCTGCGAAGTCTCATCCCAAACTGAATTTTTGAGACCATAAGGTCCCCTTGTTGGAGCATTGTAAATTTTGTGAATCAATATATATATATAAGTACTGTACATGTCTGAAAAATAAATATTCTATGCAAATTAATCATTATTAATGTTGATTTTGTACAATAATATGTTCATTAACATTTTTGTATGTTTTTTTTAGACCTAAGACAGTATAGTTAGGCATATCTTCTTCAGATTCATTAAAGAGCATGTGTAAACAAATTAGAAGCATTCAACAGCAAGTGCTAGTGCAAAATACACAGCAATGTCTGTAACATTCAGAATTGCATATAACTTATCAAATTTTATGAAAATACAAAAATGTCTGGGTAATCAGCACCACTCTGGTCTCATAGGTGTTGGATTAATTAAACTCTACTCAGTAATATTTTGAATAGATTATTTATAAATTTTAATATTAATAGATTAATACATTTTTATTAATATTTTTAAAATATTATATATTTTCAATAGATATTTTAAACTGTAGAAAATGGTAGTAACAGTAATTATTAATTTCAAAAGAATATTCATGTTTTTAGAGTGATTATCTTGTATAAACATAACTTTTTATAAAATTAAATTTAAACATATACATTCAAATTTTTTGTTTAGATTTTGTTCAGAAAGACTTCGTTCACTTATTAAAACACTAGAAATAACAGAAATTGCAGATTTTACTTCACTGGGATTAATTTGTAACTTTGCAACTTTAGTCAGCACTTATATTAAAGGTAAAAGTAAAATTAATATTTATTTAGTATATAAGATTAATTTCTTCAATATTTTTTATTGTAAAATTTGTGAAATTATCAGAGAAAGAATGTAAAATGTTATGTTTTTTATGCTCTATTGATATAAAATTCCTATAAGAAATGCCCTGTAAAGAAATGCAATAACTACAGAAGGTAAAATAAGATATAAAAATATGACAAATTTTTTTTGTGAGATTCAGTCAGAAAATTGTAAAATTATTTTAATAATAATTAAAATAATTAAGATTGATTTTTTTTCTTTGAATTAATAAATTAACAGACTAAGGTATATTTTTTTAGTATTTATATTGATATCATTAAAAAAATTTCAATATTTTTTCTTTTTATTTATAAGTTTTTCAATACTATTTAATTTAAAAGTATTTTTTCATCTGATTAATAACAAAAAAGAGAAACATACAAAGAAAAGAATTAATGGAATACATTTTTTCTTTAATTTTATTTTTCTCAAATTGTTCACAAATTGGTGTCATTTTCAATAATAATATGATTATAATGCATATTTCTACTTACATTACATTAATATTATGCTTCTGCTTGGAAAAACTAACATAAACAATATACAGTATAACCTCCAAATAGCAGATACCATTGGACCGAGAAGTTTGTCCACTATTCGGAGGTTCGTGCCAGCGGTCATATTGTATTTTAACTTGGTCATTATAAAGTGAAGAATACGATGGATTATGAAAACATCAAAAATTTGTGTTAGGAATGTGAAAATAACAAAAACTATCTATATGTGGCATATATAATTAAAATATATATACAGTATTATTTATCTTTTCTACTGTAAAAATCACATTTTAATTGAATTCTAAATAGCAAACAGATTGTATAGGATACTTTAATTAAATGGAACATAAAAATTACGACAAAATGTAAACATTGATTAATTATTAATTTGTGAAAAATGAAAGTGTTATTATGAACAGAAAGGTAAACAAAGGTCTGTTTAGGCGATGAGAGTTTGAATGTCGTGTTATGAAGGCGATTTGCTAGCCACTTCAAGGGTAAGAAATGTATTCAGTATTCTGATATTTATAACATCATTTATGACCTAAACCAGTGTTCTTGGATCCATGGACCAGCACTGGTTTGCAGAAATTTCCTGCCGGTCTGGAAAAATTTCATACTGGCAGGAAATTTTGTAATAACAAAATATTAAGATTTTAAACTTGTAATTAATATAAACAGTTATATATCAGTAAAGTAAAGTAAAAATAAATAAATATCAGAGGTAAAGTACAGCAATTAGTCAAAAAATGACCCTCAGATTTTTACATTTTTGGACTCAGAAGGCCTTGAAATGCCAAGAAATGCAAAAAAATTTAGGGGGTGTTTTTTGTATGTATAGATGTTAGTTTGTGTGGGCATGATTTTGTTCACCCTCTTTTAAGCTTAATAACGCCTGTGTTTTTTGTCAAAATTTTCTGAAATTTTGCAGGGAGGTTTGTGTATTAGGGGAATTGATGCTATTAAATTTTGATGATTAAAAGTTGAAGCAGTGGGAAAATGAAGGAGGTCGTGCATATTTCCAGTAGGGTTGGACTTAATGGCACTTTTACTTGTTATTAGCATTTATAATTTATTACAAAACTTGTCCCTACCCTCAAAATTAAGCCTTTTGCTATCTTATAATAGTTAAAAATATAAAATATTTTTTAAAAAAATAATCATAACAGATGTGTGAGAATACAGGCGAGGGGACAGAGCCCTCTAATTGTCGAGTTGGTAAAACTCGTCCACTTTGTCTTTGGGATGGCTTTTTTTTTCGAGTGGTGAGGGGGTTGGGAAAGTCGACAGGTGTCCGTGTTTTGGAGTGACAGGAGACAGGTTTTTAACAGACAACAACAAGAATTTACATAACTAAACCTATGATACATACAACTAAGCCTAAGTTAGATGTGGTTAAATGAGGTTACATATAGGCTACACTCCTATGGAGTGGATTGACAAAAGTTTTTAATCACCTTGCATGCTGACCTAATGACCTAGCTCTGTCGCTACTTCCGCTTACAATAATCTATAGATACCTCAATATTCGTTGGTCAAATTAGATGACGTTCATTCAATTGGAAAGAGAGGAATTAGAGGAGGACTGGCGATCGTATGGCACGTCTTCTTATTGTTGACTTGCATGGGCAGGGACAGTCCATTTGTGGAGGTCCACTGAACTTGTCACCTATTCGTTGATTACTCCGGGCACTAATTAATCTATTCACCTTCCTTTGGACTTCGTATGGGACAACTGCCCGGAACTTCAGTGTCTCCACCTTTTATGCTTTGTTACTGGGAAAATGATCGTGTGATTGACTATTGACATGTCGATGGTTCATTCCCAGGTGCGGGCATAGGTTTCTTCTGATGACGTGTAATAGCAGCTGTCCCTCTTTCGCAATCGAATGTTTTCCTTTTGCCATCTTGTTGTCAAAATTCCTCTCCGTTTGTTTAGAGAGAATGTCATCTGATCCCTTCTAGAGCGATGTTTTTTTTTATAACAATTGGGTTAAGAAATTAAATTACAAAGTCGTAATTTTGTGCGAAATTCACTCATTTTTCTACTCAGGCCCATAGATAGGCCCCCGGGCTCACAGATGGCACACCAAATATTACCGAAAAAGTTAAGAAACTTGTTGCTGGATTTTTATTATTGAAATTGTTTAAATAAAGTTTATTATAAATCAAAATTTTAATAACATTATTAGATTAAATTATTAACAGTGTGGCCATGCGTACAAGTCAAGAGTGAGTGATCGACATGAGAAGGCAAGCAACACCATTGCAATACACAGTAACCAGTCTGGCCAATACACAGTTGTGTGTGTCACCTGTGTATAAGCAGTTTTAAGTCTAAGAAAATTTATCTTTAGTCTACTGCTGGTCTGTGAAATATTATTCCTATTTTTGCTGATCTGCAGGTGTGAAAAGGTTGAGGAATGCTGATCTAAGTGACTAATAAAAATTGATATAGTGATTTGTCTACTTTGTAGTTATCGAGTAGGTGTAATTTTTTGAACAATAAATGATTTATTAAAAATTACTTTGGCCACTGCAAAGCTGTTAAGATCATAAATGATGTCATGAATGCAAGAAAACCAAATATCTTTCTACACTTTAAAGTGGTAGGCAAATCAGCTTCATAACACGATCTTAAACTTTCATCAAATAAACACAGTTTAAGACAACACTTTCTTTTTGTTACTACAGTAGAGCGTTGTTTATCCGAATCAATTGGGGACTGGGGTTGTTCGGATAACTTATTTTTTGGATGACCGATTATGTACGAAAAAATACATTAACCTATCCCATGTTGAAATTTTTCTCCATTGCATGTCACTTCCCATTGAATTTTTGTTGTTGTTAAGCCTAACGTAAACTTTTTAAAATAATAATTGTGACTGTTGTATCGTTAAAAATTATTTCTTTATTTTGTACAAACAAAATAAATATATTGAAAAATATAAAAACAAAAAAAATTATACTTTAGAAGTTAATTTATTATCAAAAACATTTGATTCAGCACAACACACGTCCCGACACACAGTCCTCAGAAAAACACCACACAAAAGTGCCAGTGCTGCCAGCTAAAACACACTCACCAACAAAAAAAATATTGGAGTAGCCAAAGATTGCAGTGCCACAGCACTAGCAAAAACTTAAATTTGCTGACTGGAATGCTTTCGGCTAACCGACATTTTGGATAAACGACGCTCTACTGTACTGTACTGTACTGTACTGTTCTTGTCAAATGCATGAATAACTTTGGAAAATTTTATGGTTTCTTGGTACCATAAGCTTAATTCCAACAATAAGACAAAAGTTTAATAACATTAATGTATGACGATAAATGGTGATTGACAATTTAACCAGATTAGTCTTCTTTAACAGATAATGAATATTGTTCAGCTTTTTACAACCTGGCCTCCTCCCCTATTCTTATTTTAAGCCAGTCTTTATTTGATGCCTACAGTCAAAATTCATCCTCTGAAAGTGTATTTGAACCGATTCTTAGTTTTAATTTTAAAATATTTTGTACATGATTCCAGAATATTGAAGGCAGGACTATGTGTTTTTGTAAGATAATAATGGATACCATCATCCATAATCTTAGATGTTCTATTTGAAGGGTCCGGGGATTATAAAAATGTTCGTTAAGTAGAGGTGTCTGCTATTTGGGAGTGTCTGTTAATGGCGGTTTGACTGTATTTATAAATAAAATAAAACTTTTACATTTCTTTTCTAATAGTGAATATTTATTTATATACATTAACCTTCAATAAATATAAAAATTATGAATCAAAACTTTTATTTGATGTTTATTGAAAATGAAATTTTGTCCTATTAATTCTTTAATGAAATAAAATTTTGCATTACATTTTGAAAAACTGATAAGCAAATTTACTTTATTTATACATCTAAGGTTTTACAATAATTATTGAGCCATTTGAGGACAAAGCACCAATGGTACCAAATCCAATATTATATTTTAGCTGTATGGATGCATCTATTGCAATCAAACCAGTCTTTGATAGATTTCAATCTGTGATAATTACTTCAGGTGTAAGTGGATTATGTTTTCAATTATATAAAAGTTTTTAATGCATTATTAATAATTTTTTTTAATATTTAGACATTGTCACCACTAGACATGTATCCAAAAATACTGGACTTTAGACCTGTAATTATGGCCTCTTTTACTATGACGTTAGCTCGACCTTGCATATGCCCTCTGGTAATTTATTAAGAAAATATTTTAACTTTATTAATATACAATATATATAATTTTCAAATAATTAAAGACTTAATTATCCAATGACAGACAAAACCTTTCTCACTTTATTTCTAGCCGTTTAAACACTGAGCACAAACGTTTTTGGCCTCCTTAATAGGCTTTAAACAGCTAGAAACAAAGAAAGGTTTTGTCTTAGTCATTTCAAATAGTTCTAGCTCCATATGCATAGAAGTTAATTATCCAAGTTAGAATATAATTAGTAATTAATCAAACTAGTTTCAGTTTCAAATTAGAATTCAATAATTATTAAAATTATTATAAATTTTGTATGGATAAAATGTTAATTGCTGATGAGAAGATACTCAATTTATCAATATTTTTAAAGCCAAACAATTACTGGATTACATTGGAATACCTTTTTTGCGATTATATTTAATTAATTACGAAATAATTTGTCACTAGAGGAAGGCATTAGGCACCATCTCTTACTAAATTTAGTAATTATAATTAATTTAAATATTTATTAAAGAATTGGTCTGGAGTGGGACTTGAACTTGCCAGTTACGTTACCTAAACCTGCAGTTTTATCCACTCTTCCAGGCTTGGGTAACATAACTGGCAATGCATCTGCATGGTAAGTGGGAGTTACAGGTTGAGTTCTGCTCCAGACTGATTCTTTTAGAATGTTCTAAATTATTTAATAAATATTAATTTAATTATAATTATTAAATAAGAGATGGTACCTAACACTTCCCTCTAGTGACAAATTATTTAGTAATTAATTAAATATAATCGCAAAAAAGGTAGTCTGATGTATTCTGGTAATTATTTGGCTTTACAAATTTATCGAGTTTCGTAATGTTTATAATTTGTATTTTATTGACACAAGCTGTTCTTTGTTTTTATTTTTTTTTCTTTATCAATAATAATTAAAGTTCTAATCATATTTGTTTTACTTAAGGCAGATGGTTTGCTTTTTCAGTTCCTTAAAAACTTCAATTTTATGGAAAGATCCTGAAAGAAAATTTATCATTTATTTCTTAAAGCTTTTAAAGCTCATTTCTAGAAATCATATTTTTGATTTTTATCATAATTCTTTTTACAACAAAAAAATTTCTAAATTTTTATAGAGGAAAGAATAAATTAACAAAGCTGAGTTACTCTTAAATCAGGCATGGCCAACATATGGACCGAATCCGGCCCATCTAATGAATTTATGCGGCCCGCGATTAATCTTTCAATATTAGCTACTTAAGTCTGAATATCTCGATGAAAAATTCTGATGCCTAGGAAAAACAAAAGGTCAACAACTAACTGTGCATTTAGAGTTAATGCTCCATTACAAATGTCTTCAGCACAGTGTAAAATGTTGATAATGCATGAATATGTGAAAAATGTATCGGTAATCTCTATGTACAATTTAGTCTCTACAGGGTGACACCACAATGAGATTTCACACCACCTCAAAATCTTGCTAGGGCAGCATCTGGTTCAGCCAGTGAAAAAAGTTTTCTTTCCAATTTGGCCAGGGGGCAAAAACTGTTGGCCACCCGTCTTAAATGGATAAATAAATAAATAAGGATGCATCATGTAAAACTAAAAACTAATTCTGAAACTGCAAAATACATACATACATACATACATACATACATACATACATACAATAATAATAATCTTGATTAGCATAAAGGGAATTGTCCCTGTTGCAGGGGGTATTATACAAAGAGGTATTATAAATTTTTACATTTACATAATATATAGAATATTAGTATTGAACAATTTGATAGTCACAGTAATATATTATTATACAATAATAGTCAGATGTACAATGTTGGTAATGTTTAATATACTGGCGTAAATTTAGAATATTTTTGTAATTTTATAAACATATATAATTAAATTGGCGTGGATTTTGTGAAATTTTTAAAAATGTATTTCAAATATCAAAAACCTGTTCATATAAATCAGGTTCCGGACTTTATTTTTGGAATGAGATTAATACAAAGTCAAATTTAATTTGATTGATTTCTTGTTATAATGATACACAATAAGAATAAATTACAAGTAGAATGAAATAAAAAATCAAATAGTAATTAATAATAATTCTTTTTATTGAACATCAAAATTCAAAATTGTGTGTTTTACTTTACTAAAATTTAAACATATTATTATGATATATTGTTGTATTTGTAAATATTAATGATGTGCCGGATATCCATATCCGTAGATATCCAAGGGGAAAAAAAAGATCTGTATCCATTACTTTTTAGCAGATCTTTAACGGATCTTTTATCTTAATGAATTTCATTACTTATATGAAATTTTAAAGATAGGTAGCAATAAAATACTAATAACTTCAATTCAAATCACTTTTTATTTCTTAAAATCACATATTTGCTCATTCATATTGCAAAAATTGCATCATGCAAAAATCATTTACTATCGTAAAATATTTCCATATTACACTGCTAAACTTTTTTGTCGACATTGTTTTTATTTTAATTTAACTCAACACTCCAAAGATACAAACGTAATCTATGCTATCCCGTGTCACACTAAACTATAAACAAAAACACGCACAGTGCAAGTCAAAGCACGTCGTGTTACTAATGCAAAGCGTCAACTATCGGTCCAAGGTCACAAGCACCGGCGCTGACTGAGTACGAAAGTTGGGATCTGTATCCATATCCATGGATCTAGACACTGATGATCCATATCTGTATCTGTATCCGTGGATATACATTTTTAACAATCCAGCACATAACTAGTAAATATAATAAAGATAGATTTGTCCACTGACCTCTAATAATTTATCACCCCTCCGATAAATTGACTGGCTCCTTGGGTGTCACTAGAGACCTTTGGAACCTCTGATATAAATTATAATTACATTAAAGTTTCCAAGACCTTTATTATAAATTATGATATTTAATATGATTTATATTAATTAAAATTATTTTTTACAGTAAATGTAACTTATGTTTATTTAATTTGGATAAATTTCTTGAAAATGAAATTTTGTCCTATTAATTCTTTAATGAAATAAAATTTTGCATTACATTTTGAAAAACTGATAAGCAAATTTACTTTATTTATACATCTAATATGTTAATATAAAAAATTGAAAAATTATTTTTAATATAGGATTAATAATTTATGGATTAAAATCACTTACTGTGATCTTTTTGTTTAGATTGTCAGTAAAGGAAATGATCAAGTTGCTATAACAACAAAGTTTGAAACAAGAGAAGATATAGGTCAGTAGAAGTAAGCTTATTATGTTTTACATATAATTCAGTGTTTTATACACTGCAAAATTGCTAGAATGGAAAGAAAATCTTCACATAACCTTACAACTGTATATCTCACACCTGCAAAATAGCTTTTGAAAACTTTGAACTTACCTTTGTATAGAAGATCCATCCCATATATATATATTTATTGCTTAATTATATAATGATAACAAAATTAAATTAAATTTATTGCTCATAGGTTCTTCTAGCTTGGGGGGGTACAACATTACAACTGATTAATAATCCATGTTATATAAAGTGATATGCATACATTATTTAACTTTGACATATCACTTCTCAGAGTTTCCTGTAAATCTATAGAGATGATTATTATTATTCATCTTTAGAATGCTATAATACCCCATAATTACATAAATGAGCTAGGCTGCAGGCATACACATTTGTCACCTATTTCATTTACATGCTCTCTATCAAACCTATTTTCTTCCATTTCTTGCTGACAGCAACTCTAGTTCTAATAACGATGTACTAAATATTTCATAATGAATGAATATGGTTCAGTAATGGTATCAATTATTTAAAATTCTCCAGTCCAAAAGTGACTACCAAATTAATGCCATCCTACATGACAGACTACATGTGGTAAGCTTTTTTTCAGGTAGGAGTGTGAATTAGTCCTTTAGTCCTTAACCAAACAGTCCACAAAATAAACGTAACTAAACAAAAATAAAAGTAAGAACAAAATGAACATGTCTGGTTCCCCTCACACAATAAGTTTTTTTGGTAATTTCAGAGTATATTCAAGTAGGAATGTTTAATAATGTCAACTAATTCATGGATTAACAAACAGAAAATAAAGGACATTGAACTAAATATGAGGCATGTATATAGGGTCTCTCCGATAGGATCCCGGCTGTTTTTTAACCCGGGAAATTCTTCTCATCCTTGGAAATCCTGCAAATTTTTTAAAAATTCATTTTTTTTTATTTTGTATTAAAGTTGAGGAAATTTTGCAACAATTTAAATAGAAAGTATAATTAACTCATAAACCGTCAGAATACATTTGTATTTATTAATTTTAAGCTTGCTTATTAGTTTTTTAAATTTTTGCTTATTATGGCATGTCACAGATTATCAATAATCAATATGTAGATTTGTGACAGGATTCTGTAATATCTGGAATAATTGTGCTTATGCTGTCTTATTTTTTAACCATGCCCAGTAGCTTCAATAACTGCATTTTACTAGGTTGTGCAAATTGGGCAAGGATACAAACAAGTATGAAGAAAAACTTCATAAACCTGATTATTAAAGCCAAATGAACTGTCGAATTATTGGACTGTAAGCTTGATGTTGCTATTAAAGCAGCCAAGGTAGACAAATCAAGAATACTAGACAGCATAAGCAATAGAAGTACTGTAACGCATCTCAAAACAAACTAGAAAGCTTCCAGGCTACAGTTGAAAAAACACATTAATGCATTTAAGAGAAGATGAATGTTAAGACGATTCCACCCACATCAATTGGATCGAAAAAGGAGTTCTCCTTATCAGGACTTTTCTTTAATAAAATAAGAATCAAATTGAGTGATCAGAGGGAGNCTTTAGTAAAATAAAAATCAGATTGAGTGATAAGAGTATTGACCATCTTTGCTTTTTAAAACCATATTATAAAAATTTACAATAATAATTTGTATTATGTTTTATTTAAATAACAAAAATTACCTAACTTAGAAGTTTGATCTAAGTTCATTTTTTTCTTTAAATTTTCAACTGAATTCAAAGGCATTTTTGTTGTAAGCAGTTTCCATCAAACTTAAATAAACTTTTTTTATATGTGAAAATTTCTATGTAACTCAAAAGTAATTTATTGTACATTTTTACAAAGCATTATTATTGTTATTTTGGAGGTTGCAGGATGTATTAAGTTACTTAAAAATGAAAAATTATAAAATAAATCTTAAAACTGAATATCTTAAAAATAATTAATTATATCCCAGGATCCTGGGAAACAGTTCACTTTTTACCTGGAATCCCGGAACAAGCAAAAGACCGGGAATTGAGGAACCCTACATGTATATGTGTCTATGGTGGTATTGGCAAAAATCTCAATGGCAAATGAATGTGTGAAATGCAGAGGACAAAGGATTTCACTTGTTCTTAAAGATATTGGGATAAGTTTAGACAAAGGAAATGCTGTTGGATGAGTTTATAATATTGAGTTAAAAATTGCAGACAACATGCAGTTTTACATAACCCAAACTGACTTTAACACAGATAATCCATAGCTTTATTTGCAGTAAATTACAGTAGTTAGATTATCTAATTTTTATATCTTTATTCCTGCTAAAGTAAAAACTTTAAAATAATCTATATATTAAATTAAAATGTTTGACATATAGAATGATTGTTTAGTAATGGTGTCAAGAGAAGCTAGGTGTTAACAAGAAATTATATTGTCATTTGTCTTTATAATATTGTCATGGTTGTATCAATTGACTGTAAATAAAATTATTTATGCTTTTGAAGTTTGGTAATGAAAACAATAACAAAAAGTGTTGATATTTTAAAATTTTAGCAAATTTCTCAGATAGTTAATATTTCTGAAAATTAAGAGCAAAACAATATATTTAAAAAATGTTGTTTTCCTCTAAATCTGTTTACATTTTAATAAATTAAGATGTGTTCATTTAAAAGAAATCTTCATCAGAAAAAATATGTTTTTTTTTAAATGTGATATACTTGTATTTGTAAAGTTGTTAAACTACAACATTGCCTTCACTAAGTGTTATTTACTATTTATATACAAAATTTTTAAATGTTTCATAAAATTATGAATAAATTTATTATTCATAAACTACACAACAGATACTATAATTTTTAACATTGAAATAAATTTAAAGGTTCCAAATTTTTTTCAGGAATAGTATATGTACATAATTGCTGTAATTTGTTGCTATGCTGTAAAGCAGTGTTTCTCAACCTCTAACGAATCGTCGCCCTTCAACGTAGTATCGCCCCCCCTTCAATAAAACTGTTACATAGTATCGCCCTCTTCACTTCAAAACTCCGATGCTGAGGGCCAAGGCTAACGCCAAATTTGTACTGCATTGAATAGACTAGTGACTAGTATAATGTTATTTGTTTAATTATTGTACGATATAACGAATAAAATATCTAATTATTGTTAATATAATGTTTTACTATATTGCCCAGAAAATTGTTTTTTGCCCCCAAAATATAAATTGTTACTAATTGCCCCCTCAACATGGAAAAATGCCCACATGGGACGATATCGTCTCCGTTCAGAAACACTGCTATAAGGTAATAGTAGTAAATATGGTACTAAGTACATGTGAAAAGTCACTTTGTTTTGGAATATGCAAGAACATTGTCCATTGTGACTGTACAGAAAATGTTTCATGGACTTGTGTGTAACTCTGTAGTTTACAGTTAAAACTTGGATTTAAAATCTCAATGAATTCTTTCCAGCTGTTATCCGAAATTATGGAAATCTTTTACTTGAAATGACTGCAATTGTACCAGATGGGATTGTTTGTTTTTTTACAAGTTATTTATATATGGAAAATGTTATTGCATCTTGGTATGAACAGGTAAGTGATTATTATTTAATAAACTATGCTTAATAAGCTACAAATTTATGAACTATTATTGTTTTAGGGCATTATTGATAATATTCAGAAACGCAAATTATTATTTGTTGAAACCCAAGATTCTGCAGAAACAAGTCTTGCTTTATTAAATTATGTAAAAGTAAGTTATCTTTATTATTTTTATTTATAAAACTGGCTGCAAGATCCCGCTTCGCTGGGTTTTTATTTGTATGTAATATAGTTTTTTATATATATATAAAAGACTATTTTTCTAAGTAATCTAGAATCTAGCTGCAAGGATCCGCTTCGCTGGGCAAAAAGTAACGATAGTGAAGATTAAGATAATTACATTATAGCTAATCTTACCCGTTTTCACAGAATGCAAGAATTAGGTCCCCCGTTTCCAGACTAATTAGAGAATTTTTACGT